AAAACTGATGGAATCTGAATGCAGATTGAAGCATACAATTTTTCACTTTATTTTTTTCATGTTTTTTTTTCCTTTTGGTCTGTTTCTTCTTTCACAACATGATTAATATGGAAATATTTTACATATAATTGCAAATATATAACCTACATCAAATTACATCCATCGTAGGTGGAGGGAGGTGAGTGAAGGAGGAAGAAAACTTGGTACTCAACATTTTTTAAAAAAATGAATGTTAAAAATTGTCATCACATGTAATTGGGAAAAAAATAAAATACTATCCAAACAGAAAAAAAAAAGAAAGGGTAAAACAGAAATTGAAAGAATCCACTAATTACTTCTGAAAGAGATCCTAAAATGAAAATTCCTATGAATAGTATAGCCATATTCCAGAGCTCCCAAGTCAAAAACAAAATACTTCAAGAAGCCAAAAAGAAACCATTCAAATATCGTGGAGCCACAGTCAGGATCATACAAGATTTAGCAGATACCACATTAAAGCAACAGATGGCTTAGAATATGATATTCTAGAAGGCAAAGAAGATAGGATTACAGCCAAGAATAACCTAAAACTGAGTATAATCCTTCAGGAGAAAAAATGGACACTTAATGAAATAGAGGACTTCAAATCATTCCTGATGAAAAGACCACAGCTGAAATAGGAATAAACAGAGCCTTCCTTAAGATGATAAGTAATATCCATCTAAAATCATCAGCAAGTATTATCTGTAATGGGGTTAAGCTAGAAGCCTTCCCAATAAGATCAGAGGTGAAGCAACGATGCCCATTATCACCACTATTATTCAATATCATACTAGAAGTACTAGCCATGTCAATTAAAGAAGAAAAAGAAATTAAAGGAATTAGAATAGGCAATGGGGAAACAAAACTATCACTCTTTATGATGGTATATCTAGAGAATCCTAGAAAATCAACTAAATAATTAGTTGAAATAATGAAGAATTTACATCAGAAATGCAGCATTGGTTCAATATTATGGAAAATAGCAACATAATAGGCCCTATTAATAACAAGAAAAATATAACAAAATAACAAAAAAAATAATATCAATAGATACAGAAAAAACATTACTTTTTTTAAATACACTAGAAAACTTAGGAATAAGTGATCTTTCCTTAATATGCAAAGTAATATCTATTTAAAATCAAAAGTTATCAATATAAATATTGGAACTAAATTAATGGCTTTCCAGTAAGAGTAAGGATAAAGAAGTAAGGAGTAAGGATAAAGAAGGTATGATCATTACCACCAGTATTATTTGATATAGTGCCAGGAATGTCAGCTATAATAACAGGACAAGAAATTGAGGAAATAAGCACAGTCAAAGAAGAAATGAAATTCTGCAAAAGATACAACGAGAAAATGAAATTCTACAAATGATATAATACTATCCTTAAAGAACCCTGGAGAATCAAATAAAAAATTAACTCAAACTAACAATTAATAATGTCAGCAAAACTGCAGGATTAAAATAGATGTTAAGTCATCAGTATTTCTGTACATTACTAAGAAAACCCAGCAGGAGGACAGAGAAAGAAAAACCTATTTAAAATAACTATTAAATGTATAAATCACTTAGAAGTCTACCTATCAAGATTCATAGAGGAACTATATGAATACAAATACAATAAAGACAAATAACTAGAGAAATGTTAATTGCTCATGGCTTGGCTGAGTCAATATAATAAAAATGACAATACCACCTAAATTAATTTACTTATTCTATGCCATAACAATAAAATTATCAAAAGGTAGAAATAATAACAAAATTCATCTGAAGGAACAAAAGGTCAAGAATGTCAGGGGAAATAAGATGAGGAGGTAGGAGTGGGAAAGGATTAGGAAGAAAGTGAACCTAACAGCTCCAGATCTCAAACTAAACTACAAAGTAGTAATCATTAGAATCCTTAGTCCATTAAAATCATTAGTGCTTATTAAGAAACAGAGAGGTTGATCAGTGAGAGAGATTAAGTATACAACATTTAGAAGAAGATGAACACAGTAGCCTAGTGTTAAATAAACCCAAAGACCTTAACTACTGGGGTAAGAATGGACTATTCAATAAAAACTACTGGGAAACTTGTAAAGCAATTTGGCAGATAGCAAGTAGACCAATACCTCACACCACATACCAAGATAAGCTCTAAATGGGTATACATGTAATACAAAAAAGGTAACATCATAAACAAATTGGAGGAGAAAGGAAGAAGTTACCTTTCAGATAAGAGAACATTCGTGATCACAAATGGAATAGAGGTGGTCAGGAAGATATAATGAATCATTTTGATTACATAAAATGAAAACGGTTTTGCAAAAAACCAACAAAACCAACCAACCAAACAAACAACGGAGATACAATCAGAACTGAAACAGGTAACTGGGAAAAAAATGTTTGCAACAAGTTCCTCTAATAAGGATCTTATTTCCAAGATATATAAAGAACTGATTCAAACATATAAGAAAAGATCATTCCTCAAGTAATAAATGATCAAAAGATATAACAAGAATTTTTCAAAAGAAGAAATCTAAACTATAACCAATTATGTGAAAAATGCTTCAGATCACTTATAATTAGAGAAATACAAACTAAAAACAATTAGGAGGCTCTACTTCATACCTATCAGATCAGCAAAAACACAAATGTTGGAGGGACTGCAAACCAGTGAATTGTAGAAAGCAATGTAGAACTGCTCCCTAAAAGTCACTCGACTGAGCTTGTTACCTTCTGATCCAGTGATACCACTACAAGGTCAATTACCACCCCCCCCCAAAAAATCAAAGAGACAAAGGACCCATGTAAACACTATACGGGCCGCACGCTGACCCTCTGCCAGTCGTGCGCCAGTACCCACTTCTCCTAAGAGAAGAGCACCGCCAGAGTCTTACCCATTCCCGGGTCTTCGGTCCTCAGCCGGATCACCACACAGAGACAAGCCATCAGAAGGCACCAACACCAGAGTTTTATTCAGAGGCCAACACAGCAAACCATCATAGCAAGCCCAAGCAGCAAGGCCAGAGCAACAGGCAGGAGCCAGGGGAGAGCGCACGTGTGTTCTGACCACGCTTGTTCCTAAGTACCTACTTAGCCCCTCCTCCCCAGCCCGCTACTAGCCAATGATTGTAGGGTCAGATACCGGAGGGGGCTGTCTGAGTTTAGCACACCAAGGGGGAGGGAGTGACATAGGAGGCTAGGATTGGATACAGGAAGGAGGCATCTGGGATTGACGCATAGACAAGAGTACGTGACCTAGGAAGTCAGACTCAGGAGGGGACTGGGTCAGTGCTGCACAAGGTCAGGAAGGTCACAAGAGGCATCTGGGGATGACGTTGCATATAGGGAGGGGACTAAGCAGAGGGAACTCAGTCCTCTGCCATCCCACTCCCACGTGGCACCGCCCCTTGCCTCAGGAGTTCAGGCTCGGCTACTTCCTTGCACCCAGCTTATCTCATAGCATTGCCCAATTGCCTCATGGCTTCTCCGAATCCAGCCCATCCCAGTACACACGACTCTGCCTACCACAGTCCCTGCCTCGACTTCCAAAATACCCAGATCTTACCTTACCCATGCCACAGCACCCGACTGGCAGCTGCCAACATCAGACAGTCCCTCACAAAACACCATTTATAAGTAGCTCTTTTTGTGGTGGCAAAAAAACAAAACAAAACAAAACAAAAAAAACCTTGAAACTAAGGGAGAGCCCATCAATTAGGGAATGGCTGAACAAATTATGGCATATGAAAGTACTGTTATGGAATACTACTGTGCTATAAGAAATGAAGAGGATGGTTTCAGAGACATCTGGAATGACTTGTATAAACTGATTCAGAATGAAGTGGCCAGAACCAGGAAAACATAGTAACAACAACACTGTAAAGACAACTTTGAAAGAACTTAAGAACTCTGATCAATTCAATGACCAACCATGATTCTAGACGACCAATGAAGAAGCATGCTACCAACCTCCTCACAGGATTCAGGGTACATAATTATATATGTGTATACATACATACATATATATACATATTATTTATCATAAGTTTAATAATAAATTACTATATTATATTATAATAAAGATGAGACAACCACTATCTTGTGTCATTCAGAAACAAGTAGGTATAGGTGGTAGTCAAAGACAACACCAGCTTTAGTGCATAAGATTTTAAACCACACCGGCAGGAGAGAGGAAAATGATCCTGCAGCAAGCTTGGTCAGTCTGAGATCCAACAAAGCCAGATTGTCCCAAAATAATTTTTTGGATGAAAACGGAAGGTCAATAAGTACATGCAAAATGAAGAAGATACGCCAGTGGTTTCGTAGCAATATAGTCACATCAATGGTGACAGCAGAACCACTACCTTAGAGTGACCTAAGTAAGCATTCTATAGGCATTATTTAATTTGATCCTTCAACAATCCAACAAGTTAGGTAATACAAATTTTATCTTACTTTAGCAGAAGAAGAAGCTGAAGCTTAAATAAGTTAAATGAAAGTAAGCATGGTGTAGTACCCTAAGCACTCAATGCAAGAGTGAGAAGACTGAAGTCCATCACTAGTAGCCCTGGGACAATCTCTTTACTTCTCTGGGCTTGTAGTCTCATCTCTAAAATGAAGGGCTTCAACCAGATGACCTCAGAGGTCCCTTCTAACTCTAAATCTAGATCCTGTGACTTCTGGAAGGCCATGTGCATTCAACATCAGAACTCATGTCTTCTCAGTGGAAATCTGGTGTTCCTTTCATGCTGTCTTCTCAACTAAGGAATAAATTAGCTTAAGGAACAATTTTTTTTTTGCATCAATGTAAGTGAGATAATTATATAGCATTTGTATTTAAAAATGAAAACATATCAAAGTACAATTTTTCCTAAAGCTATTATCCCACAATCTTCAAATTTGTATGGCTTTGCATATTTGATCTGAGAAAACGTTCCATTATAAAAGTCACATATTACGTCTAATGAAATTAAGAAATGACTTAACATACCTGCTCTTCCCTATCTTTTTCTTTGGTCTTACTCCTGGAGACCCTGGTAGAGGTAGCATCTCGAGCTGGAATGACAGAGATCTGACTCAGTGGCATGTTCATCACAACCTCCGGTTTGGTCTTCTTGTTTAAGGACGAGAATCTTCACTGTGAGGGTCATTTTGTGTCATGGACCTGAAGCTTTAAAAGAAAGCAAGAAATAGGATGATTTAAAATTCCATAGGACACTTCTACCACCCTGGTGCAGGGCACCTCATAAATATGGACTACTGCAATAGCCTGCAGGTTGGACCTAAAACATCCCCATTGCAATCCATCTTCCACTCACTGTCAAACTAATCTTTCAAAAGGGCAGGTCTGACCATATGACCCTGCCCCTCATTCAATAAACTCCAGTGGATCCCTATTACCAACAGGATCATATATAAAATCTTCTGTTTGGCTTTGAAAGCCCTTCAGAACCTGTTCTCCTCCTACCTTTCCAGTCCTTCTTGCACCTTGGCCACCTTGCTTTTCTCAAACAAAGCACTCCATTTCCTGACTCCTGGTATTTTCATGGGCCCTCCCTTATGTCTGGATCTCTCTGTCTCCTGGTTTCTTCAAGTTTCAGTTAAAATACCAACTTTTAGAAGAAACCTTTCCCAGTCTTCTTTAACTTTAGTATCTTTCTTCTGGGACTACTTCCAATTTATCCTTTATGTATCTTGTTTGCACACAGTTGTTTATATGTTGTTGCTCTGAGAGAGCAGGGATTGTTTTCTGCTTTTACATGTCTCCCCAGAGCTTAGCACAGTGTCTGGGAAACAGCAGAACACACTTAATAAATGCTAGTTGATTGACTGACTAGTTAGATTTTATAATTTATAAACAGGCTAAAAAAATTTATAAACATGCTAATGTTTGAGGGATGATTTAAAAAATCAGCCTTCAAAAATTTGTAGATAAAAATGAATGGACTAACAAAAATCTGTACTATTTTCCTCACATAAGATTGTCTTCCCCTAGAATCCTATTCTGGTGCCTCTATGGCACAAAAATGAAGATACCCCTTTTTACCTTTCTAATATCCTTATACTTTACTTCCCTCCACACACTCTGTGATCCAGCTGCACCGGCCGACTGGCCTGTCCTCAGAGATGAAGAGCTACCTCCTGTCTCCATGAGTTCTCACTTTTTGTCCCACGTGCCTCGAATGTTGTTGTGTCACCAACTCTTAAATTTTATAGTTAAATTCTTTTACTACCAGACTATATTCAAGTTTTATTCAGCTTTCTTGAATATATTTTTTACGGTGAAATACAAATAGCAACCTGTAATCCCAATTCTGATCGATTACATCTTGCTAAGATTGTAGCATCTCTATCCTTTTGACAGGACAACAAACACATATGAAATGAATTCATTTATTATTTACATACAATTAATAAGGACAACCTTCTTGTCTAACTGTTTCTATCCTTGCCCCTCCCTGGGCCCCCAAGCTGGTTTGATTGCTGGCACTACAATACTTCCTTCTGCTCACTTGGCTCTAATGTTCTGTATCACTATCTCTGCTAGCAAAACTTTCCCTCAGTAAAGCTCTTACTGACACAAGTGTCCTGTACTTTTAATGGGACAGAAATTTTAAGACGAGGAGCTCTTAACTTGGAGTCCATGAACTTGGTTTTGTTTTTATTAATATACTTTGATAAGTATTTCAATTTGGTTTTCTCTATAATCCTATGTATTTTATTTTATGCATTTAAAAATCCAAAAAGGGGTACACAGGTTTCACCAGACGGCCAAAGAGGTCTGTACCACAAAAAGAATGAGAACTGCTGCCTTACACCAAAAGAAGGAGTCTTTCATACCGGAATTTAAGGCATCATTCACCAAATGGAGGGGTTGAGGGAAGGAACACATCAAATACTGCCTATCTACTCTCCTTATTGCCTCTATGATCAAATACAAAAATGCTCTGTTCAACATTCAAAGTCCTTCATGACCTAGCCCCTTCCTGCCCTTCCAGTCTTCTTACACCTTATCCCCCACTATATACTCTTTCATCCAGTGACACTAGCCTCCTGGCAGTTCCATGAACAAGACACTCCATCTGGGCATTCCCTTGGTCTGTCCCCCACGCCTAGAATGCTCTCCTTCCTTAACTCTACCTAATGACTTCCCTGGCTTCCTTTAAGTCCCAACTAATCCCTTGTAGGGGAAGCATTTGCCAATTCTCTCTTAATTCTAGTGCCTTCCTTCTGTTAACTATTTCTCATTTATCCTGCATGTAACATTTTGTAAATATTTGTCTGTTGTCTCGCCCATTAGATTGTGAGCTCCTGGAGGACAGGGTCTGTCTTTTGCCTTCTTTTTATATTCCCATAATTTAGCACATTGCCTGGTAAACAGCAGGTGCTTAATACGTGTTCATTGATTGCAAAGGCATACATTTGTAAGACAGCAGGACAGGGCTAGGATACCATCAGCAAAATTGAAACTGGCTTTCTCAATAAATACAGGAGTAAAACAAGGAAGCTCATTCTTCCCACCATCATCTGATATAGTTGTGGAAATGCTAGTAATAACAATAAGACAAGAGAAATAAATTAAGGGCATAAAGATAAGTAAAAAGGAAATAAAATAACTCTAACTGCTGATGACATGCTGATATACCTGGAAAATCCTAGAAAATCAGCAAAGCTACTGAGACAATTAACAGCTCTAGCAAAATTACAGGCTACAAAATAAACCCTCAAAAATCAATAGCATTTCTACGTTTTATAAACAAAATTCAAAAGGCAATAACAGAAAAGGGAAATCCCATTCCAAATACCTACAAATATCTGGAGATCAATCTACCAAAGCACACAAAAGACTTAAATAGATTCCAATTATGAAGTACTCCTAAAAGAAATAAAGAAACTTACACAGATGGAGGAATATTCACTGGTCCTGACTGAGCTGTACCAATATAATAAAACTGATAAAAACTACCAAAGATAATTTACTGTCTTAATGCTATATCAAACAAAATCATCAAAGAGATACTTATTACAACTCAATAAGTTAAGAAAATTCATTTGGAAAAACAAAAGATCTAAAATATCACAAGAAATGGTGAAAAGAGATCAGGATAGAGGAATAGCATTTCTAGACCTCAAACTGTTATAAAGCATCAGTCATCAAAACTACCTGGTATTGGTTAAAAATAGAAAGATTAATGGAACAGACTAGACCAGGGAGAATCAGAAAGGATGGAGCTCAAAAACCCAGTGTTCCATCAACCAAAAAATAAAAATTACTTAGGAAAAAACTATTTGATTGGGAAAGAAAACCCTCTAGGAAAACTGAAAATCATTCTGGCAGAAATTGGGCTCAATTCAATACTTTAAATCATATTCCACAATCCATTCTAGACGAATGACCTTAATATTAAAGCTCATTCCCTATAAAAATTAGAAGAGAATCAGATCTTACAGTTCTCACAGTTATGGATAGAATATGTATTCTTAACCCAACAAAGGATAAAGGCAATTACATTAGATAAAACAGGTAATGTTGATTACATGAAACTAAAAAGTTCCTGTACCAACAAAATTAATTTATCTAGAATAAGAAAGAAAATGGTAGAATAGGAAAATAATCTTTATATCCAATTTCTCTGATAAAAGTTTAGTATCTAATATATAGTAATAATTAGCACATATATTTATATGTGTGTGTGTGTGTGTATATATATATATATGAAAATATATGTAATACATACACACATTTATATTTATAACCAAAAGCCATTCCCTCAAAAGATAACTGGTCAAAGGAACAGTTCTCAAAAGAAAAATTGCAAACTATTAACAATAGTATGAAAGAATGCTCCAAATCACTAATAAGAGAGAAATGTAAAACAAAACAACAATGAAGTTTAACCTCACATTCTGAAAACTTGCAAAGATGGCCACGGAATAGTGTATGTTTCCATATTCTGATCAGTTTTGCTGACCTTTTTCTTCCTTTTTCATAAGGGATGTCTCTTCAAAAGGAAATGGAGGGAGGAATATAGTGGGATATACAGGAGATATAAAAACAAAAGATTTCAATACAAATTTACTTAAAAAATAAACTGAATCTCTAAAACTGATCTCATTAGCATGACTCTCTATAAATGTGGAGAGAGATGAAGAAAACCAGTATATATAAAAAAAACAAGGTAAAAAAAGACTAAAGGTAAAAAAGACAGTCACATCTCAGTGGCACCTCATTCATTGTCTCTAGGATCAAATGTGAACTTTTCCTCTTGGCTTTTAAATACATGAACAATCTGACCCCAGCTTACCTTTCCTGACTCATTCATTACTCACTCCCCATGGTCCAGCCAAAATGGCCTTATTGCTATTGTTCACACAATTCTTTTCCCATCCCTCATGCCAGGATTGCACACTCCCTCGTCATCTCCACATTACAGAATCCCGCCTTCTACATGACATCTAGTGCCCCCCCAAACTATCTTCCATTTATCATGAAAATATTTAAATCTACACATATTGTCTCCTCTTTACTCCACTAGGACTTAAGCTCCTTTTGCAAGGACTATTCATTTGGGTCTTTGTACCCTGTATGTAGCAGTGCCTCCTGGTACAAGGAGGCAATTAATGAAACTTGTTGACTGGTGATCAAAAATTCTGTCAGCACTAATATCCTTCATTTGTCCAAACAACCAAAAAAAATTTTTCACCAAATTGGATTAGGGGGTAAGTTAAGTAACCAAAACAAAGGAAGCCAAATGTCATCTCTATTCTGCATATCACCTACTCAACTCCAGACCTGTGGTGAGTTGGCCATCCCTGCAAATAGTCTTTATGGTGATTCTACTTCAAGTACTCTCAGGGTCTCAGGGCTTTAGAGCAGGAAGGTCAGGGTCCAGCCATATCATTTTACTGATGAAGAAAGTGACACTCAAACTGGGGAAATACCTTATCTAGAATAACCCAGATACTGAGTAGCACCCAATGGCTTTAAATCCAGCCTTCTTTATGCTATACACATGCTGTCCATTCATTACTCTGTGAAAGATGAAAGGTCATTACTTACAGTGTTATTCTACTACACCCTGGAAGATCAGAGGAGCTGGTGGTGAGCTGTTTCTTCACCACTACCATGCCATGGGTAACAATCTCTTGGCATGTTTAAATAGTCAAACT